AGGCAATATACTTCATGTATAATCTGGGCTATTGTATGTAAATACATATTATGTACTTACATACCTACATATTATGGAACGGTAATCATCACTACCTCACTAAAGAGAGGACATCCAGAAAAACTATGTGTTTAAGCTCAGACAAATCTGATTCTCCTTCTTGGCCTCAAATTGCTTGGACGGGAGATCTTGGCTAAAAAAACACAACCCTGTGTACTTTAAAACATGCACAAAAACTTTTAAGACATCTCTTTGAGTATCCTTTGCCTCATCTGTAATGATTTTAAATCCTCCATTTTCATGATGATGACACAAACATTAAATGAATCTGATTTGGTCTATAGTAATTGTTCAGGGAGGAGTTTCCACCTTTCTCCCAAACTATCCAAGATAATGAGATTTTCCTCTGTTTTCACAAATGCTTGTTGCTAGTTCCAGAGCCCCCCAAGCCAAACCCGACTTCCAGAGTGTGGGTGGCAATTTACCATGGATTTGGTAGCAGCAGCCTCTCTTAGGGGTGAGTCTTGCTGCTAGTGGCCTTCCTAGACAGAACTCTTGCCCTGTTTTTGAATGTCCTTGACTTAACAGCAAATGTATTTTGGATCACCTGCTTGACATGGCTTTCTCTGCTAAACATGCTTTTGATTCTGCTGAGGTACTTAAAATTTTGTGACACTAAAGGGTGTTAAGGGTCTCTTTACTGTAAAATGAAAGTGATCCTTTTAAACTGAAGCAAAGCTGAAGCAATATAAAGAAGGAAAGACCACATCAGTAAGGCTTTAAGGCTTTCAAGCACCAACTCAGTCCTTTGTTGCACAGAGGAGCTCTTGGGTTATGGTACGGCTGCATTTAGCACTGTTGGAGGTAATGGGTTTTGTCCCTGATGCAGTGATGGACAAGGAGAACCCAGGACAGCACCTGTACTGCTGAAGTCATGCTGCACCACCAGGCATGTTACAAAGAACAGACACCCCTATTAAAGCAGATAGATCCCAGTCTAACATGCCCTTCTTGAGCACCAATTACTCCCCATTGCTGACAGTTCCTGGTGGGTTTGTAAGATCAGATGGAGACAGAATTAATAGTCCTTTGCCTTCTGCAGTTTTTAAGACAGTAAAGGAAAACTGCGAAGTGAACAGAAGAATACAGGGAGGGATAGTCTAAAAGAAGGAAATTACATCTGCAGGCGGATGAACTGAGGTACACACTCTACTCCCTAGCCTAGGACTGTGTAATACATAAAATGAAAGACACTGCCTAAATTTCTCTCCCTGGTCTCTTTTTCCTCCCCAAGTACCTCCTGTGAGAAATCTCACAGACCGCTGGGAAAGGGAAAGTAAAAGCCAGGTATCTTCCCTCATTGTTTTGCTGGGAATGATTTTCTGCTTCTTACTCAGTAAACAAACTACTGAATACTCTGAGGCTAGTGGAGTTGTGTGTGGGTTATCTGCATTCCCAGTTCCAGGCTCACAGCAGCACTCTGGCCCTGTTAATAGCAGTTTCTCCACGCAGCTGAAACAGCCTCAGCCTTTGTGGCCTTTTTGGGGCTCTTGAGAGGCCTGGAATAGACAACAGCACCTGTCTGAGTTAAGCTGACACTGAAACTGAAGGCAATAGCAAAAATGTTTGGGGATGGAAAACCTCTCCTAAATCACCTGCATTGTCAGAGGTGGAGAATCAAGAGGGCTAGAGAAAGGTTTAGCAGAAGATCTGTACAAGAGGGAAGAAAGTATGCAAATAAACAAAGACTTGGAAAGAACAAAATGCAGTACTACAGCAGTGGTCCAGAACAGAATAATAAAAACAGAGGGTGAAAAGTCAGGCAGCATTCTGAGGGGAAAGGGGAGCTTAAAACTAAAGGCAGAGGCAGGAGGAAGCTAACAGACAAGCCCAGCCAGAGGAGAAAACAAACCTCATTCAGCAGTGTTAACTCTCTATGAAATAGTCTCACAAACAACGAACACAGTTTATCGACACTCTAACAGCATTATCAGAAGTGTTGACACAGAGGGTACTTAGTAAAAGGAGAGTATTAAAAATGGCTTTTCCTCCCTCTAGTGCTCAGCACAGAGGACTTGATGATGGAAAGGGCCAAAACAGATTCTGTTTACTAGAGGTAGTGTCCTTGATAAAAGAAGGCATCCTGGTGGACAGGCTGTCTCCAGTACTTGCCTTGGAAATACACAGTGTTTGATGTTTATTTCCCCAGTGAAAATACCCATAGCATAAGATTCCTCTTCACTTGAACAGCCCCTATGGTTTTCTTCTGTTGCTCAAATCAGGTAACACTGGTGACACAGGAAGCAGTTTTTTCAAAAATCCTTCTTTGTCCACCAGCAACCACAAGAAAATGCCAAGTGTGAGTTCTCATTCTGTAGCCTCCCTTTCTAAGACAAGTGTGTTTTCTGTCTCTTTTTTTGTTGTTATTTCCCAAAGCTCAGAGCAGCTCAGTAGCATATGGAAATGGAATTTGTGTATGCATTTCATTTTCATTCTCTTCATCTTCTTCATGGACAAAATTGGCTGGCTTATGTTGCTCAGACTGTACCCTTGTCTCAAACAGCTGCTCTTCCAGGAAGGAGCTCCCAATGCCATACTGCTCATCATGCGCCTTTGTTTCTGCAGGTGAAACGTGGGGAGATCCCAAAACAAAAGCTGCAAACCTGCCAGATTTTGAAAGGGAGATGTGATCAGCCTAGAAATTAATAGAACAAATACTGTAAATTGTAGGGAATTGCTATTTAAGCAGGAGTGCTGTAAGGACATCCCCACAGGCAGTGCAGATGAGGGGAAGTTCCAACGGATGGCAACAACCCCAGAGATTGGTTTCCCGGCTCATCTTTTCAGTATTTTCTGTAGAAGTAACTTTTGCTCTTCTGGAAACCATCTGCAAGGTCTTGTGACTAAGCAAGAAGATCTAACTTCATTTTCACGTCTTGTCAATACTTGCAGGGTAATCCAGAGTAAGCATTTGTGCAGTGGGGAAGTTGGTACTTTTGCTTCTAAAAATTAATTAAAGCTGTAGCATATTTGAGACAAAGGCTGTAAGAATTCAGGTGTGTTGATATTGCTAACGAAAGGAAAAAAATGGCAAGAATTCTGCACTCCTACATTGTGTGTAGTCACCTTGTTGCTAGTGCTGCGTGTGCAATGTGGGCAAGCTGAGCTCAAGTCTTCCCAAAGAATTCCTCCTCTGGTGAAGATGGAGCTGCAGACTGGGAATTCTGTAGCTGCTCCAAGTAAATGCCAGAACAAAGCATGAACTTAGCACTGTCCATATAAGCAATCTGCCACAAATCCTACTTTCAGTGGGCAACTCCATTGAGGAGAGAGAATGGAGCTGGAGGTTTCTGGCAAGAGTGTGAGAACAGACGGCAGTTCTGACACCTGGGTAAGTGTCAACAGCATCAGAGAAATGTATGAAAAAGGAAATGCAGCTATATTCTGGAGTTCTGGTAAACTGATCAATAATTTACATTTCAGACTTAACATTTCTGTGAGATGAATGTCGTCACCTCGCTGTTCTTGGAAGCTCTGTTAGTCTAAATGGGGAACAGGTTTGCCTTGGGATGAACCACAGTCTGATGCTTAATGGGAGCTGGGAGGAGTTCTCTAAATCTGATTGCTGTTGATTCTCCTTTTTATTTCCCTGTTCTCAACCAGTGAACAGTTTATAACAACTCTATTAATGAAATGACAGCTAGAAAATACATGTGTCTCAGTTGTTTTGTACATTCGGTGGGATTTAGCTCTACAATACAACAAAAAGCTTTCACCTTTTTATCTCTCCATCATGCTAAAGGAAGGCAAGCAGCTTAGAAAGTAAGACTGTAAACAGTAAATCTATAAAACCTGGCAGAGAGGCTGTCTGTGTGCCAATCCAAGGGAGATGAAGGTTCTGAAACTGGATTTAACTTGTTACTGATTAAATTCCAAGCTGACTGGGGTTCCTTTAAAACCGTGACACTTGGTTCTGTGGCAAGGACTAAGTCTTTGTGGCTGGCTAATATATTAAACTCTGCTTCTGGTATCTTCAAGTTTTTGTTTTGATGGGAATACACTGTTACGATTAATTTTACATTCTGCAGGGTTTTCTGGCTTTGCTTGTTTGACCCTTCCTGCCCTGTATTTGTTTTAGGTTTATCTCTTAAGCTATACATGGTACGGCTCTTCTACCTGTTCTACTTGCTAGTTGCAGGTATTGATTTATTTCTCTGTATTCTTAATCTTATATAGTGATACTTCAATAATAGGATTTCCTGACTGCAGGTTTGCAGTTGGAGAGCTTAATATAGATAATATGTGAGTATGTATCTTCACCCTGCCCCAATTTTACACCACAGAAAAGGGCACGGTTCTAAAACCTGAAGGAGGGAAATTTCACTGGTTAGAGAGCCACCAGGATCTCTGCAAGAGCTTACAGAGACACTGTAGGAAGCCTTTAAGTTCTGTGACCGTAAATTAGCTGTGAAGGTCTGCAAACTCCCAAGAGTAATTTGTGGTCAGGGAGTAACAAACAGAAATTTAATGCCACCAGCAAGTTATACCCTTGAGAGGTGTGGCTGTGGTCCTGAGTGGGATATGCAAGATAAAAACACCTGGAACAGTGCCTGAAGTGGCATTTAGATCTGCTGTGTGCCAGTGTCTGTGCAATATGTTTCCCGTTTTAGAGGAGCCAGGTTTTCTTACCTGTGTGGGGCCTGGAGTTTGGATATAGCTATCCAAGATGGGAAGTCAGGGCTCCTGCAGAATGAGCGCAGCTCCTCCAGAGCTCTGATAGTTTCACTTTCACCTTGTTCTCGGTATTCCTCTTCAGTAAGGTATTTAAACACCAATTTTTTTGATTTAAAGTGATGCTTCATTTTTCTAGAACGAAATTAAAATAATCAGTATTTATAAAGTCTTCTGGCATGTAATTATCTGCCCTTTTTCTCTATACCTGCTATTAACATACATTAGTCACCCCTACCCTTTCAAGAGAACAAGCTGCATTCTTACATTTGAGGACAAGGTATGTAGTGTTTGCTAGCCTGTTTACCCTAGGTCTGAACCAAAGCTGTAAAATTTCATATGATATTTAATGAGCTTCAGATGAGCTTTAGATCAGGTCCTTATTGTGTATGCATGGACTAAAATCTCACAGAATTAAAGAGATGGCTGCTTGCTCAGCCATTTTTAGGTGCAAAATGCAAAATGTGTCTGTGCAGAGACACGGGCTGAATCAAAACCCAGTCTGCATATGTTACTTGAAAGATAAGCAATGCTCTAAGCCTGTTGTGAGTTGTTCGTGTTGTTTACTAGATTGCTTCTCTTAAATCTTGCTCTAAATTACAAAACTGAGTAGTCTGAGGCCAAAATGTTTACAATCTGATGGTTTTTTAGCTGCTGTGTAGCAATGTATAATATAATTAGATATAAATTAGAAAGTGTGCCATGTTCTGTTTCCTTCTGTCGACTGCTTTCAATTTAAATGTTGTGATGAGTTAAGATAAGCAAGGGCTGGATGCCCATAAAACTTTCAGCTCTGTATAAAAACACCTGCTCCAACATCAGCAGCATTCAACTTTCCTCCTTATACCCCTTTAAAGCAGAGAACTGTAGCCATTGTTTAGGTCAAGTAGTGAAGGGTCTTGCTGGCTCAGTGAGATCCACTGCTCTTAACAAGAAATACTGCAAGATTCTAAATTATTTTGATATATTTGCTGCTCTGAACTGTGTATCTGGCATCACAGCCTCACAGTTTGGTGCTGTGGCTTAAGGATTTTGAAACAGAAAAATTAGAAAGCCCTTATCATTCTCCTAAGAGAGATTTGTAGAACTATATTTCTTTATAGAAGCATCAGTTCATTAAAACCAAAAAGAACCACATGAAGAATAATCTACAGTGTTTCAGTGTAAAACTTCAAAGTAAAAGTGAACTTGTGGCCACATCATACTGATTCCAGTGTTCTGAACCTGATTACAACAGGTGCTGATCTTACATGTTGCTTTTGAAACAGCTGTTGCTCCTCAGCTGCAGGCAAAAATTGGTCTACAACAAATGGTAAATTCTACCTAAAATAAAAAAAGCTTCAACTCAGGCCACACTTCAGCATGTAAAAAGAGAGGACAAAACCAATGCAGTATGTTCTTCAAAACTAACCTGTGTGTAAAAAAAACCCAAACCCAAATTATTTGGTTTTTATTATTTTGGTTATGCCAGTTCTAGCCTTTGCCTCTTCCTACTTCTCTGCGGTTCAGCAGAGTCCACAACTATGGAACAGTCTGTTCCAAAGACTCTGAAGCTGGATGCTGTCCATCACTGAAGGTAAAAAACAGATGTCAATTGGCAGGGTTTTACAGAATCTTCATTTGAGGCATTGCACTTGTGCTAAAACATTCTTCAAATTCAAGGATGAGCAAACACGTTGCTCCTGTATTGCTATTGAAAACACTTAACAAGTTAAGCATTCCAAATCCACAATGTAAGTGGGCCTCTAGGAATACTGAGGAATATCTCCATAATTTTCTGATAGATTGCTTCTATGAATCAGAGGGAGGTAACAAACTTGGAAAACTAAAATCATGGAGAACACTACTTTGTGGACATGTGATTTTAGTCTCTGAACTCTATTCAACCTCCAAAGACTGTCGCTTTTGAACAGCTGCATCCTTGGTGATGGTACACTCTTTTATCCCTAAGATTCCATATGAGTTCCCTGCAGCTTCTCTCACTACATGTCAAACCAAGGCAGTATTGCTGCAGCCTAATCAATCAAACAGAAATGTTCTTGTTGCCATATGCTGTGGACTAGAAGGTGCTACATTTGTCCTAAGAACACAGTCACATTTTTCCATTATCCACATAACAAAACTCCTGCTTAAAACTGCCAAGTGGAAAATAATTTCTGTGTCTCTGGACCTTAAACCTTTCCTACTGCAGTTTTACATTTGGCAAAATTATGAAGTAGTACTAGAAATTCCTAAACCATTATTGAAGTGTAGGGTTTTTTCATTATCAGTTTCCAGTATTTCCTGGTTCTCCCAGGACTTGGATATTCACACACAGACCTGGCAATGTGACAGGCAGCACCCAGGGGGTAACACAGGCCTTTGGAGCAGAGGCTGACTGCTATGACTGCATATGCAACTTGAGGGATGGTGACACCCAAGTAGATCAGGACAAAGGCTGTTACTTGGAGCATCCATGTGAACAAGGTTATGCTGAGCTCCGTGGTCAGCGGCCCATGATGATAGCAAATGGCAAAGCTGGTAATCCCAACAGCCAGAAAATACCCTGTAGGAACACAAAAGGACATGGAGAAAAAGATGAAAACTACCCCTATAAACTTCACTTTGCTTCACAAAGCTTGCAGCTGCTGTGAAGTGTAACCTGCTGATTCTTGTGTTGTCTTACAGACAAGTGCATGATCTTTTATGTGCTTTCTATTTCCAGAGTGTGCCAAGACTTCACACGGTTATCTCTGAACAGCTTTTAGCCAATGCTCTTGGCTGCACATGAATTCTCCTCACATGACCATGTGGAGGCAGGTGCCAGATCAATAGGTTTGTCAGTCCCTGCAGCCACATCCTGTTCCCCGTGTGTGCATCCATTTCCCACATCCAGCGAAGTGCAAACCAGAGGAGCTGCCCTTTTGCTCTTACAGGGAAAGTAAGTAACAGCAAATAAATGAACAATAATGCAAGCAAAATCTGCTCTTAGAACTAGTCCTCTACGTCAAACTCTATTTAATGATACAATGTGAGTAAACACTCAAATGCCTGGATTAGGAACCTTTAGAATGTTTCAACATCCATGGCTTAGGAGAAAATAGAGCTCTATAAATGAGTCACTTGATTTTCTTTTTTTATGGGCAGGTATTCATCTGACTACTAAATTAAACCAAAATCAGCAGCACATTTCTTGGTAATTTTCTTACCCAACAGGTAGTTTTTGTGTTCAGACCACAACCACTGTATATTCTCTTTGAAGCAGTAAATAAAATAAAGAGAGACCATCCAGGAGCCACTCATTAAAATCCAGAAGGTACTGTGCTAGAAATTAAAAACAAACAAACAAAGGAAAAAAAAATTCAAGTCAGAATCAGGACCGTGGTTTCCAAAGAAACTCACAGGCCAAAATAGATGTGAAATTCTTTAGACCTACAGGGTTTGAGACTTCCACTGCAGAATCCTCTGCATGCTACAACAAAAGAGTATCAATTACAAGCAGAGCAACTGCATCCCTGTGTTTGTGTATCGTGTCCCAGTGTCACAGTATAACCCTATGGACGTGTGTTCCCAATTAACGTATCTCAGCAATATTATGGGAATACACAGGCTTTATAAAAGTAAAGGAAAAATTTACATCTGCCTTACAGTGAATTGCCTTTCGTGAATGGAAGAGAATCTGTCTCAGTTGCAACTATATTTTTATTTATATTAATTCACAGATTCAAAGGTAAGCTTAGCTCCAGTTCAATAAAAATAATTTATGTTTCAGAAGGTACTCTTCTTGTACATCACCAACACCTGTTCAGTTTAAACTTAGGAGGAAGCTAAATGGAACTTGACTCTGGCCTAAATATATTTACTTGATTCAAGCAATCCTGCAGTAATTTCAGTGCAGTTACCTGGCCACAAAACCAGAATAAGATCAGAATCAGGCTTTGTACTGTCACGTCTTGTATTATGATGATTGCTATTATTTTGTTTTATAAATGTAGATTTACCCTTGGAATAAATCTTTTAAGTGTCAACAGGACAAAGACTAGCAGAGCAAGAACACCCAGTATTATTCCAGAAAGGTAAAAGAACTTGGCACTCCTGTAAGAGAACAAGAGAGAATATGGTGAGAAGTATCATTTGTAATTGATTAAGATGCCAACATTTGTAAAAATGGCAGTGATCTTCAATAAGAACTTAAATCAGCTGTAAGTTAGAGTTGTAGTTATATGGTCAACAGGCCCAGTTCAGGTATTAAATCTGTGTTAGGAAAAGTTCCCAACAGATACTTAAGGTCACTGGAGTTCTTACAGGTTAAGAGACTGTGCTGCAGTTTTTTTAAGCTCACACTACTTCTGATTGCATTGACCTTCTAGTCTCTAGTACACAGAAGGAAATTAAATAACCAATATGGTTCTGTACTGCAAGAGAAGTTTTATATTCATTTAAAATGCAGAAAAACCTCCACAAACCCACAAGTTTTTTTTTTTTTTCCTAAGCATATGCATTTATAAATTCCATCTTATTAATTCAGAGTTAATGCTATAAAACCTATTGCTGCTCTGCTTGTTTTAGAGGTGCCTCCTGACAATTATTTTGTGACTCACTTTGCTTTGAAGTTGTAGGCATATATTTTGCTGTAACAACTGAGTATCCTCCCTTACATGCTATGCAAAATGTGCATCAGAAGAAAGGCTGGCACAAAGGTGGAGGCAGAAGAGGCCCCAGATGACTTTATCCTAAATATTTCCCCCGCAGGAAGGCATCATTAATAACCAGCATTCTGCTATCCTCAGTGGTCTACAAAAGGGAAAAAGGACTTTCCTGATCCACATACTTGCCCACTGAGGATTGATTGTCTTGGTGTCCCCCAGTGCAGGAAGCTTGGATACAAGAACCCTAACACAGCTGACTAATAAACAGTTAGGTACTCCAACATATGTCACAACCTGTCCAAACACAAATGGTATGAGGAAGTTTTAAATATATATTTAGTTCCTTATTTCACTTTCCCAAAGAACTACCTCTTTAGCTTAGCAAACAGACCAAAGATGCACAGACTTTGGGAAAGAAGGTCAAAAGCAGCTAGTACTCACCTGCTCAGGCTGTTTGCAAAATGGAACAGAAAAATTCCAGCTACAAACAAAAACAAGAGCTTTCCATCTAGCACTAAAAAGGGGGGAAAGAAATAGAAATTGACTTTAGACTAATTCAATCTGAAATGCTGATTATATAAAATATCAACAGAAAAGTCCTAAGCTTCTTACAGAAGAGATGGTACATTCAGTAGCACTGGCAATACCAAGCCATCTGTAATCTAAACTCAAAGATTTGGTACTTACTTTCTCTTTTCACCCTCACAATGTATGGTTCAATTTTGAAGGGTTGTATTTTGAAACAAACATCTTCTCCATATTGTTTTATGCTCAGAAAAGTTTCTGTACATGTCTCTGGTTTCCAGAGGATTTGAACAGCACATGCAGCAAACTCAAAAACAGTTTCTGAATTCCGACAGTTGTTTTTTTCTGAAATAGGCTCAAACCGGAACTTTTCTCTGCTGTTAACTTTTATCTAGAAACAAAGAACAGAATACACAGAGAAGCAGCTCAGAATCACTGTGGGATTTTGTGAACTGTATCATGTATCAACCATGCATGGTAATGAAAATCAGTCTTAATTGTTTAGTATTGGATATTTATACTATGCAAAGATTAATTTAAGTTTACAATTAATCACCTTACAAGGTAACTCAGAGAACTCATCAGCAGCCAAGTTCAGTGGAGGGACCCCAATCTATGCAAAAGCACAGTGGGTTTGGTTGTACTGTGACACTTGGCCACACACAAATTTCTAACAAAACCAGTAAATAGCTGACTGACCACAGTTTGTTTTGTGAATGTTCATACCTTTCCTCCTTCCCTTCCTGAACCATAACACATTTGACTTGCTTCTCCTTATAATGCAATCTTCATGCTGGGTACATGAGGGATGACGAAAATGAAAGCTAGCATAACCAGAAATTTAAATAGAAGCACATTCTTGTTGGGTATTTTGGAGTTTTTTGCTGGTTCCCAGTGCCCTCTCCCAACAAACTGGTAAAAGACCTTGCCCATCTTTTTAGTTGGGGTGATTTTTCTGAGAGCTCTGATACATGGTGAGCATTTCATCAGGGCCTACTAGACAACAAAGATCCATCTGCAAAAAAGTGATGCAATGGGTAATAAACCAGGTTTGTATTGGGAGAGGAGATAATGTGTCAGCAAGCAATTTGTTGTGGAAAAAAATCTGAACTTCCTGCTTTTAAACATTGACTCCAGGAAAGTTTGTGTGACTGATGGAGGGTTTTACCACCTGGAATCTGCTACCATTCATAAAAACATCTGCAACATGTTCCTGAGGAAAATAGCTCTGGGAACAGACAAAGAGATATTCCACTTCCTTGTATCTGAGAGAAAAGTCCTCCAACAGAGACAAGATGAAACAGTTTCCTTCCTTTGTCTGGAGACATACTTTTCAGGAAAGAAAAGGAACCATGGAGATGGTTAGCTAATTCCTTTAGCTGTTACTGCTTCCACTCTTGAAGAGATGTTTATTTGCTTCAAACTAATCTCTAAATGTGTGTCTTGTAAGATGACCCTCTGTTACTCAGGAGAACAAACACACTGCTGCTGGTATTTGTTCATTAGTCACAATCTAACGAGCCTTTGGTTCCTACACTTTGGTGTGCTGTGGTGAGAGAGCCACAGAACTGCACACAAGTCGTCAAATTTAGAAGTTCCATAATGGCAGTTGGTGATAAGCAAAAACATTTGTTGCAGAGGTTAACAGTGGTCCATCCACAGAAAAGGTATGCAAGAAAGTAACAGACAATCCTAAATTAATGTTTTTGTGGCACTATCATACTCTAAGCCTGGCTGCCATCCTTACAGTAGAGACCAAACTGCACTGCATCCCAACTGGAGGCTCATAATGCTGCATTTCTATCATGGTCCCACTCAAACCATTAATAACCCTTAATTTAATTTCATTAAAACCATTAATTCCATAGAGATGCTACCCTGATCTTGCTAACTAGCCATGTGGTTTGCTGGGAAAAGCTCACATGAAATACATTGACTGATCCCCAGAACAGCCTCTTACCTGGACAGTCGACCACAGGTACTGTAAGTGAATTGTTCTGTTTTGCACATAGCAGTAACAGTTTTCATCCTGCTTCTGGATGACATCCATTTCCTGCAATAAACTGCAGTTTTTACCTGGGGGGAACAAAAAAGTTAATTTTAGGCATCTGTCAAGTACAAATGTCTAATTTTAGTCAATTTCATTGTTGTAAATGCTGACAGAAACATTTCCAATATGATTTAAATGGAAAATCAAATTTGACTTCTAATCAAGTCATTTAGGCTCCAAAGTAAACTGCAACACCTTTGGAAAAAAAATATCCAGGGTGGTATTTTTAAAAAATGTAATCCAGAAAAGCTTGGCTTCAGCATCAGTGTTTTGATGGCAATGGAACAGGGCCTCTGGGCCAAATTCACTGCTGGCATGAGTGGGTGTAACTCCACCACAGTTCTCTATACCAGTGGTGAACACAACTGTGGGAGTCTGAGCAGGTAAACAGACTTACATATTAACACAGTCATTTAGCACATGACACGGCTGCTGATCACAAAAGTCATACTCCTCTCCCTCAGAAATGTGAAATCACAAAACTCTTCTTTTTAGAATGTTTTTTCTCCTGTCACAGTCCAGCCATGGCATGTAGCAAAGGAACTGCACTGACAGCTCAGCATAAATCATTGAATTAGAGACGTGAATTTTTCTAACCGTCCTGAAATGTTAGTGAGCCCCTATGATCTTCAGAATTAGATTTCATTTTTGAACAGAAATGGACCTAAAAGATTAATGGAGCAAAGTTTGAATAACATACATTCTGATCTATATACATGTGTAAAATATACCCTACAGTGCATTACCACAGTGTTTCAAGAACATAATTAAGAAAAGCATAGAGGAAATAATTACACATCTGAACAGAAGGACTCATCTAGCTTACTGAATAGAAAATGTAGGTCTCAGCCAAGCTCAGTAATAACTGCTAACATGCTGTCATGCACTCAGAGCAGCAAAATGGGTGTGTGCAGTCTCAATCCAGACATGGAGATGCTGTTTGCAGGTAAAACCCTGCTGTGTCTCTATAAGGAAGCTGAAATTAAGCTAAATTATATTTTAACAAATTTAGTTAAGCCAATGAAAAATTCTGTGTGGATATTCTTATTTAGGTTTATTATAGTTCTTACTTAGGTTTATTATAGCATTACAGAATTATTGTCCACACACGATCCTACTAAACTGGTTTAATCTTAAAATTTGGGCATTTTTCCTATGGAAAAATTAACTATGGGATTAATTTTCATCCATGGCAAATGGGATGTGGGAAGGAGCACAACCATTCAGACAAGCACTAGCTGTACCTTTAGGCAGGCACTTTCACAAAAGTCATCGCATGATGCTGCAAAAGGATTATTTGTCACTGAAGTGCTGCCGATTGACGCAGCAAGGTGAGGCTGGGCACTACCCAGGCCTAAAACCGAGATAATCCAGGAACAGGAAATGGCAGGGCCAAAACACAGCCCAGTGTCCACACCTTCCCTGAAGGGCATCTTAGGGCATCCTGTCACTATGGATAAAGTATCCATCCGTGTCAAAGGCAATGTCATCCATATGCAAGGCTAGCAAGTACTTTCTTACTACCCATAGTTCTAAGGTATTTTTCATGAGAAAAATCAGGCGCTTGAAATGTTGCATCAGCTCCACAGAGTGAAACAATTATATTCCAAAAGGAGAGATGCTTCTAAACGGGTAACTCTGACGTGGTGCTGGGTTTAGCTACTGGGAGGACACACAGCTAGAGTAACTCTCAAATTCTGAGACTTCAAGCAAAGAAATTTGGAATTATGAGCCATCAACATCTGCTACAGCATCCGGAGGACGCCCAAGACTCGAGAACGTCAATGCAAGGAGGAAGCCGGTTCTCGATTTCCTTATTGCTACTACACCTGAGAACAGCCTTTAGGGGTTTGCCTGCCCTTAAACATGTTAATAAAAGATCTGTTCTGCACCCGATTCCCCTGGCCCGAGCTCCTGAGAAAGCCAGAGGGAGCTGCACACGCAGAGGCGGCTCCCGGCCCCGCCGCTGGAGCGGGAGGGACGCGCCCGCCCTGTGCGCCGCGGTCCCTTTGTCCGGGCGGGCTCTCCCGGGCCGGTTCCCAGCGCCCGCCCACCGTCCTGCGGGAACCGGACCGCGACGGGAGAACAGGGGACACGGCAAAGCGCCTGAGGCCGCGGCTGGCCCGGCTCCGCTGCAGCTGCTGGCGGGGGGGGGCCGGGCAGCGCCATGTTGGGCGGCAGCGGGAGCCGCGGGGCCCAGGGACAGCGGCAGCGGAGCGTGTCCCCGCTCCCTAGAGATGGGGCCGAGGAGCCCCCGGCCTGTGAGCACCCGCCCTGCCCCGGGGGCGGGAGGGGACGGGCAGTACCTGCTGGCGGCGCCTCCCCGCTGCCCGCGGCCGCCCCGGGCAGCGCCAGCCGGACGAGCAGCAGGAGCAGTCCCGGCCCCGCGCGGGCCCGCGGGCGCTGCCGGCGGCGGGGCGGCGGTGCCGGACCCATGCGGCCGCCGCCGGCTCCAGCCCCGGCCCTCGCGGCCGCCGAAGGGCGGGGCAGGGGCGGTGCGGCCCCGCGGGCCCCGCTGCTCTCTCCCCCCTCAGGGCGCGAGCGGGCCGGGGCTCCACTCGCGGCACCCGGCACTTGTGCCGGAGCAGCCGTGCGGGGGTGAGGGGCCCGTCTGGAGTGTGACATCCCGCCCTCGGCTCCTCTTACGTCTGCCGTGGGGTTGACAGGGTGCGCTTGGAAGGGAGGAGGAAAACCATCGAACGTAACAGCTCAGCCCAAAGCGTGTCTCTGGAGTGTGATCCCCTCAGAATGTTGGCTGCCCAGTAAAGGTGTAAAGTAGTCCCAAAGCAAACGGGACGCTTGCAGACCTCAACCCAGGCAGTCACCCAGCTGAACGGGAGACAGTGTTTGATGTCCTCCTTACACAGCCGGCTCCCAGCCCGAGGGAAAGGCCGAGCCCGGTCACCGGGGTGCCGGCAAGCAGCGGTGGCTGAGCCAGACGCTGAACCACACATTAATCAGACCCTCTGTCCACGCAGAGGACTTGGCCTGAACGAAGTGTTATTAGATGTTGTGATGGAGGTGAACATCCACAGCTGTTCTGTACTTCCTGGGCAGGACACCGTTCCCCTGTCAACCCTGTGAAGATATTAGAGAGGTCCAATTGAGCTCAGTCCCTGCTTGCTCATTGCAGTCATTTTAGATCACTAGTGAGTCACAGCCAGCAGTCAGGGGTGGAAAGGGCTGGAGCTTTTTTCCCTGTTCTATGAAAATCAATAAACACAATTTTGCCAAGGCATTCTGGCATCACTGTTGTCTATTTTTACACTGAGCCCTACATTTGGCTTTTCCAACCTACTTGCTTTGCTTCAATGCGTTCCCTACCTTGTTCTTAAAACAATGCTCCTTCTCTGTGTGAAGGTTGCTTCTAGTTTTACTTTTGATTGTTTAGGGCTCTATCCAACTTCTGGAGGTGCCAGGATGGGCTTTTTTAACACCTGAAGGGTGCTGCCCACTGCCTCGCACCTTGTCTCGGCGCTTACATCTGCAGGGAGTGGGTGGTGCAGGGCTGTGGCTCTCCTCGCCTCACCTCCTACGCCTGCTTGGTGCTGGCTGGGCTCGCATCTAACTGTGGATTTTTCCTTGCAAATACTGAGGAAGTGAAGGATAAGGGCAAAAATAGTTGGGATTTGATGGCGTGTGCAACATCTGACAAACTTGAGTCTTCAAAGGAAGCAGCAATTGATTTATATCTTTGTCTTTATGTAACTTGGGTGTTGTCTCTATGTAACTTTCCAGGCACTTCCTCTAGCAAATTTAATAAAGAAATAAATACTGGGTCCCTGATAAACTCTTAGGAATATGTTACCTCTCAGCTGTGTGTCTACACAACAAGGGACCATCACAGCCAAGTTATTAGAGGAATCCCTCTCACATTTTCAACTTGCAATATTTTTTCGGTTATGTTAACCTTCTTGACAGTATTTTTTCTGGGAAGGGAGACACTCTGCATTCTGTTCTCGCTTGTATTTTCATTTTTAGAGCTCTTAGCACTTCACTGCTAATTAACTTTCAATAACTGTCGTAGGGTTACAGTTAGTCAGCATGAATCAGACAGAAAATGTAGCTTTAGGGGACCACACTCTGTCAAGAACTATTAGAAACCTTTGCTTGATTTCCGAGGAGAATATACTCGCTCAAGCAGGATATAGCAGCTATTAGGCAGCATTCTACTGCAGTAAGAAATCCTCAATAAAAAGAGACTCAGTGGTTTTGGTAACAGCCCTCCTCTCAGGGTGTCTCTGAGTAATTATGCAGAATTTTCCTTGTTTCCTGTTTGTTTGTCTGATTTCCTAAATGGTGCTGGTACTTAGGCCAAAGCTCTGAGCTTAAAGGCAGTATTTTTACCTGTTTGCTCACAAATATAATTCAAAATAGGGGGAGAAGGGGGAGGTCACTTATAAGTGCAGGTCACCTCTGCCCTTCCCGGGTCTTTTAAGCTGTGAAAAATTGAGTGAGAACCACTTTTGGCTGGGAGCACTCAAGGGAAGGCTTGGCTGTGGCAGGCAGCAATGCTGTTGGTACCAGTGATGGGTGACATTCCTGGGATGCAGCATGCAGAGCTCTCGAGCTCCATATGTGACAAATTGCCACTTTAGTAATGGGGAAGGAGGAAGGGGAGCAGTGTCCACAGCATGTGTTTTCCTCCCAGGCTTTTGGAGTCCTGCCACCCTGTACACTCTGATGCCTAAAACACTCAGCATCATCCACAATGCCCTCATCTAGCTGTGCAAAAGCTTTTTGCAGTGTTTGATGGGACACCAAATCTTCTCAGTGCTGCTGAATCCATGTTTTTCCACAAAGGCACCAGGTGATCCCTGCTGATGATTTATTTGGGCTGTGCCAAAGGAATAGGCCATAGCTTTGTAAGGCACTGGTTGGGAGGGAGCTTCTCTGTGCCCCCCAAAGCCCTGCCTGCCTTGGGCTCCAATGCAAGGCAGCCCCTCTCCCCTGCAGCACCTGCAAGGCCAGCCTGAGGAGAAGGCACACAAGTCCCATTTCTACCCCACAAAGTGATGCTCATTGCCCACTTGCAGCCTGCTCTTTACTTTCTCGCTAGAGCTAATAGAGGCTTTCAATTTCCAGGTGTGCTGTTAAAACCTCAGCACATGGATGAGGTTTTCATCCTTGCCCTGGATGACCTAGGATGCTTCCTCTGGTTTATATAATTTTTCTTTTTTCCCCTTTGCCCTCTCTTCCCGCTCCTTACGTCAGCAATGGGTATAATTTGTTTGCAGAGTTCCAGAGTGTTTCATCTTTCTCTGGCTGGCCCCAAGTGCATGGGGGTTTGTTGAAGCAACAGCATTCTTGATTTCTTAGAGCTGCTATGTGGGTGTTGGATTGTGTCATTTGTAGGAGGTGAACGTCAAAGGAAGTGGGATCAACTGCTGGAGGTTTATAAGCCAGGTACTTAATCTCTGGTTTCCTGGAAAAGCAAGGAAAAATAGCAAAACTGGCAGCCTTTGTGTCTTTAGTTTTCCCATGTAATCAGAACAAGACAATACCTATGCGTGCTCAAGCACAGTTTGCTTGGTTTTGGTTGCGTTGGGTTGCTTTTTTCCCCTTGGTTTATTCAGGATGGAGAACTACTGTATTTTCCTTTAAATAGTTTCACATGTTTTGGTGAATTCTGTTGAATGTTTATTCCAGTAATACAAATAATTTGTGGTCTGTAAGTGCCCTCACAAATAATGCCATTCATTATCAGGTACATTATGTTGTCTTTTTATTTGATGTAAAATGGTGTCTTTGAGTTAAAATTAGACAGAATAGCTATTTGAGACTATTTTGTTCATCTCCAACTGTTTTTTTTTTTTTTCAGAAGTGCATTAGTCTGAAGTATTTCATGGGCAAAATACTGAGTTATTTTGGGGGCAGACAAATTATCTACAAAAGAAAAGTATAGCTGCTTATTTTTACAGTAGTTTTATGGTAATCGCTGTTTTATTTGACAAGAATAGATACCAAGCTGGATAGAAAATTCCAGCAGAGTACTTTCTCCTAAACTCCTCTAGGGAGCAGGTATCTTCTGCAGTCTTTGTTCAGGCTAAGTTTAAAAATTAAATAGGACAGAGGTACCCTTTAAAAAAATTATTTATCCATTTTATGGATTAGGCAAAAGGACTGTAGCAGCTTTCTTGGCATTTCCCCCTATGCTTGTTTTCCCATGGTTGTCAAAGGGATCTGTGGGTTAGGAGGAAGGAAAGCTGATGGTGAAGTGTTCATGGGAGGACTTGTCTGTGATCACTGGGAAAACAGTGCTTCCCTCTGACTTCATTGTGGTGTAAATTTATGGATCTCATTGATATTTCTCCTGATTTACACAACAGTAACCAGTATGTAAGCACAACAGTAACTTAAGTAGAAGTGGGCCTTAAATATTTATCTGGTTTATTTTTAGAATGACAGTTGCAGCTATTTATGGAGCAAGGAAGCAGTGATACAAATCTGACTGGATTCCTTCTTTGCTTTGGATCTGCAATACAGAAGCAGTTGGGGTTTTTTGACCACAGGCTCTTATTTATTATGTTAAATTTGCTTTGATTAATAGGTTATAGGCTTCATTTTTCAAGAGTCTCTGAACCCCTGCTTACAAGCACAAGGGATCTTGTTAGCTCTGTAGAGGAGCATTGATGCAGCCCAAAAGCAGCTGTGAGATTGCCCTGTGCTGCTGTGCAGCACTAATGCCTTACATGGATTTATCTGTGGGGAAAGGTCCCAAGAGAATACACACTTGTGGTGGGTCATTGCTTACCCAGAAAACCCCAGAATAGAAATATATTCTCCTATGGAATGCTTTGCTGGATGTGGGAGGGCAGATGGGCATTTTGCTGTGAGCAAGCCTGTGTCTGTGCCAGTGTGGTGGGGAGGGACATTCCCTCTGGAAAGCAACATGAGGGCTAAACTAGGCTGGTGGATGGAGATGCCAGAAGAGAGCATGCCAGTAGTATGTGCTGACTCAGAAATTAGCACTTTTGGCTCTTAGGCCACTGTTTGATGCGTGGCTTAGCTTAGTAGTTACCTAAATCTGTTGTTTCTTTTTGATTCCAGATGGTTTGTGGTAAGTACACTGGTGGTCCTACCACTGATGTTGGCGCCCTGACTGAGTCTCAGACACCTGGGCTTTAGTGCAGCTGAACAACCCTCAGCCATACAGACAGGCAGGTCAGCACCTGGCAGGACCAATTTTATTGCTGCATCCCTCCTGTGGAGAAAGAGGGCTTGCCCACTGTCATGAACTTCAAAACATCGTTCTGTATTTAATTTAAAAGCAAACCTTGAGAGCCTGGGAAGGAAAGAGAACTAACAGAAGTCAACCCCCTGTGTTTGCTATGAGAAGCCACAGAAGGAGGTATGGTTTTGTAAGGAGGCCATAGGAGCAATGTTTTATTTATGGATAAATAAATAAGGCATGTCTGTCTTGTGCCTTCAGATTTATCTTTATACTGACTGCTGTTTCTTGTTTCCACATTTATACAGTAGCCTTTAGTAATTGTCCTGAGATTTGACAAAGCACTCTTGGAAGAATGAATTGCTAGTACTGTTAAACAAATATGAAAATAATTACTCTCTTTCCAATGTTTCTTGAAATTAAATTTTAGCCCCAGTGTGCTCAACTACCTTCA